TCCATTGTTTTACAGCCCAGGGATTTGTCAATGAGCTTCTGTCTGATTCACACAGAGAGCGTCTGTCTACTCTCCAATCCATTCATTTACTCTCACTTTCCATTCTCTCCCCCATTTCTTCTCTACCCATCTCTCTTTCTCTCTTTTTCCTGCCGTAGCCACATTGGCCATGCATGTGCTTCCATTTCTGGTAAATGATGTAAAAAATAGCTGCACAGCTGTTATCCTTTCTACTCATTCTGGAGGTTGAAATATGTTTCTGTAACACGTAAACATTCTCGCATAGAGTGACTGAGAAGGGTGTCAGGGTCTGAGCTGACATGTTCACCTGCAAAATCTTAGTGACATGTCAGGCACATCTGCAGTGTATCGAGACTGTAGGTTTAAAGTAGTAGTGGAGTCAGGCCAGCACCTGACCCTGAAACTAAAAAGCTAAATTCTACCTATAATTCTAATCATTTTACTTGTTTTTCCAGGGTTGAACACATTAAGGTTTTGTGTACATATTATATTTGTAGATAACAATGCAAATGCCTGTGCAAAACACCCACACGCATTCACAGAGTCAGAAGCACGTCTCAGATTTAACTACACTCCTTCACCTTTGTTTCCTTCCGTTTCTTGCTCTCTCACTCTTTACTCTCTTTTTCAGTTTGTTGGGGTAGAGGGTTTGATAACAGGAATCATGGACATGCTGCCCCCTAAATCTGCCCTGGGCTCCCTGCGACGAGAGGTGGTAGCAGCCATCTGCTGCTTCATCTGCTTCCTCATCGACATGTCCATGGTCACTGAGGTACCGTGAGGATTTCCTACAGCTTTGGGTTCTTAACAATTAGGTGGGATAAACAGTCATTTTGAGGCAGGAAGACTGTAACAACAAACATCTATAATGATATTCATAAACAAGATCAAAGACCAGAGTCTCTTACATGAGCTTCAGATTGTTTTGCTTTTAATTTTTCTTAAAAATACATGAGTTCTGCACCTAATGCTTTACTGGGCATAGGAAATCATTGCCAGTAAAGAACTGTGGTAAAAACATTAACTGTTGAGACAAGGCTGGAAATAGGTCACACATAAAGTATTAACAGGGTGGTCTTGATGCTGACTCGTCTCTCTGTTTATGTCAGGGAGGGATGTACGTCTTCCAGCTTTTTGACTACTACTCTGCCAGTGGAATCACTCTGTTGTGGCAGGCGTTTTGGGAGTGCGTGGTGATTGCTTGGGTCTATGGTGAGACAATACCGCTCAATTACATTACACACAACACAAATGGCACAGTTCAAAGCATTATCACCACCTCCTTGTGTCATTTCTGTCAGGCGCAGACCGTTTCATGGACGACGTGGCTCGTATGATTGGCTATCAGCCTCTACCCTACATGAAGTGGTGCTGGTCTTACATCACACCTTTTGTTTGTGTGGTAAGTGCTGCTCTGTATGTTTTGTATGTACGTTTAACCTGCCAGTTGTAAACAGCTGACATTTCTTTTGTGCATATAGGCAGTGTTCCTGTTCCACGTGGTGAACTACAAGCCCCTGACCTACAACACAGTGTACACTTATCCCTTGTGGGGTGAAGCACTTGGCTGGGCATTGGCCCTGTCCTCCATGCTCTGTATCCCTGTTACCGTTCTCTACAAACTACTGCGCTGCAAAGGATCTTTGCGGGAGGTCAGTATGCGACATTCTTGTGCATTTGTTTCTGTTTGTAATCGCTAGAAATGTGTCTCCTTGGATACTTCCCTCACATATTTAGTTTGCTGATTTCTTCATCACTCATTAGAGACGGCTCATTAGATAAGGCTGAAGCATGTGTCCAATAAACAGTTTATAATCTCTGTGCCGCTGTGTGTCTCTGTGTGTCTTCCTCCTTGTAGCGGTGGCAGCACCTAACCACCCCAGTTTGGGGCAGACATCACCTGGAGTACCTGGCCCCAGAGAGCGAGGCCAAGCTGCTGCCCCCTGCAGGAACCAAGAGTACACTGCTCTTTGAAAGTGTCATCTGACAAGCTGAGCCCCTACAGAACACAGAGCCAAGGTCGCCCTTGACATCAGCACACACATAAACAAACTACAGACGATACATGCACACCACACAAGCCTGGTAAGAGCAAAGTGCAGATTGGCTACACCCCCCAGTTAAAGCTACGGAAAAGCCCCAGACAAATGGACCAAAGATTAGATGGAAGAAGAACTGAAACACACCCATACAGTCATCACATGCTGATAACACCCTCTGCTCTGCTTTCTGACTCTACCTCGCTGACTCTCCCCTCTCGCTTTCTCTGCTCCTCGCATTTGTGCTGTCCCGTCCTGTCTCGTTCTGTGAGCGTAGTGCGTCTAGTGTAGTTGTGATATCTTCCCTTTCTGTTCCTCTGTCTGTCAGGGTTTCAACTAGGGATAGACTAATTATCGGCCTGGCCAATAATCGGATCCGGCATTCAGGAATTACCCGGTTATCGGTATCGTTATTTTTTTAAATCAGATAGCAGATATGTTTGAAATGCCGTACTTTGGCTTTGCAGCCACCCCTCTTTGTCTGAAGTCATCAAAGTCCATCCCCCCCAGCACTAACCTATTGGTTTCATGTCACAAGTAATAGTAGAGTAATACTTTTTCAAGCTAATGTTGAAAAGTTCTCTTTTGCAGAATTTTATTAAACATATGCATAAGGTAATGCCACAGTGTAAAAGTATTTTATTGAAAATATTACTAAAGTAAACAAGTGTTAGCATAAAAATATATCTAAATAACCAAAAGTAAAAGTGCAGAAGGGCCCACAGAATAATATGTATCATATATACATCATATTTTATTTGTATAATGAACTGAATCTAAAGTAACTAAAGTTATCAAGCAAATGTTGTGGGGTAAAAATTACAATATGTGCCTCTAAAATGTAATGGATTGGAAATATAAACTAGTATAAAATGGAAATACTCAAGTACAGTACAAGTACCTCAAAATTGTACTTACATTACTTGAAAAAAAATTCTGACGTAGTTACATTCTACCACTGGTTATTCCAAATTTCCACAATACGATTTTCATTTTTACTGTAAATTCATATTGTTTCCAAATATCTGTTACCTGTTTCCTTAATAACTGCTTATCAGTATCTCTATCGGTCCTCTAAAAAAACATATCGGTCGATCTCTAGTTTCAACAGCCTCATCTGTCCTGACATGTCATGCCATTTTGTGCTAAATGAGCAGAATTGTAAAACATCCTGATGAAACTTTCTAAATGAAAAACCTCATATCTGCTGCTGATATGCCATGGTCTGAATGTGTATGTGTGTGTAGATGCACCTCTGTATCTGTGTGTGTGTGTGTGCGTGTGCGTGTGAGAAGCAGCGTGTGTTTGACCGTGGCAATGGTGTCTTCATTTACATTGTTTTCCGTATTCTCTTAATTACCTGTACAAAAATACCTTCCATTTGTAAAAAAAAAAAAAAAAAAAAGAATCAAAAAGAGACAATGCATCGCCACTTCCAGCTGTGTGTTATAAACTAACTTAAGTATCCAGTGTATTGTAGGGTCTGTGAATCAGTGTTAACAATATTTGGAGGGGATGATGATCAGTATTTCCACCTTAAGAGAAGGAGGGAAACTTAAGATTGAGTTGTGCAAAGAGCAGGAGACTGGGATGTGGGGAGGGGAAAGAGACTTGATGCCATGTCAGGAAAGAAGCAATAAATGATCAGATAATGAAGGATGCAATGTGTTTTTATGAGTCTTTATTTACAAGGTTTCATTCATACTTCATTCATGAAACATAAAATTGATGTGTAGAAAAAAGTATTCCGGTCCAATCATAATAATAAAAATATTACATTTATTACATTTACATCTGTATAAAAAAAATAAAAACTCATTGCACAGTCAGACATTTCACAGACAACTGGAAATGTAATCAGTAAGGGTGAACGATAAGCACTCCCAAGGAAATATGTGTGTTGTGTAATTTACAACACATTGTTAACATTGAGTGGTTAATCCAATGAACCAATCATTTCAGGATCCATGGCACACATATCAGTGTCATCTGCAGGCAAAACATCCATAAGTTAATCTAATTAGGAAAGCAATTTTTTTCAGTTTATATAATTGCACATATAATGGACCTTTCCTGAAGACTTTTTAAACATTTTGTGGTTTCAAATATATTCTCCAAAATAAAATATGATTATAAAACAACATTTTTATGGCTGGGAGCAAATCTCTTTGGGTGAGTGATCTAAATCAATTTGATACAAGGGACACACAGCAAATAATAAAATACAGTGTTTAGTATCTGACAGTTATGATAGCAGATGATAACATGACACTAGATCCCAGAAATAGGAGGGAGCTCGAGATGTCAGAGGAGTCAGATGTGTGAATACTGACTATAAATACACCCACGTTGTGTTCAAAAGCTTCTGCTCTTTTCAAACGTAACACCTATTACAGCACATTTGGAATTTGGCTCATTCTTGCAGGCTTTCGGAGCAAATGAGCGGCAATGTAAAGGCTGAGAACTCTTGCAGGAGGGAATGGCCCGGCCATATAAATGACAAATATTTACATTTTATTGATTAGTTATGGAAGACGTCTGTATTGCATTGGTTCAAGAATATACTTAGATTGACAAACAAACATATGGATGCACATCATGGTCTGCCTGTTCATAGCAACACCCCTCACATATGAGTTTCCCCTTACAGTCAACCTTTCACTCACTCTCCACTCTCTCACACAGGCTATAAATACAGACTCCTATTAGTCCAGTGTTACATTCTCCCACTCAACCCCCGCCCCTTCTCCGTCTCTCACACACACCACAGAGGGAGAGAGCTGCAATGACGTATTGCTGGCTATCTCATTAGACGATATCATAAAAAGCCTGTTGCCACAGCAACGGCTCCCTGTATTTCCATGGCAACCAGCCGCCATGTCAAGGTGGTGCATTCTCCCCCATTGAAGGGGGAGGAGACAATGGCGACCAATGGTGAGCAATGGAACAGCCAGGAGGAGGAGGAGGATGGTGAGAGTTGGAACAGTCTGACCCCTGCTGATCACATTTGAGTGGTGCATGACACATCCTGAAAAAAAAAGGACGATTTAGGGCTGAGGGTAAGAACGTTTGAGAATATATTACAGCAATGACAAGTGATAAGTGAAGCTGAGAGAGCTTAGAAGTGTGATTAATATTCATAGCGATGGACTCACAAGTATGAAGTCTGTCTGCCCCAGTTTGTGGAGAATATGAAGCACTGCATCATGTACTGTGACAAACAGCCTGCTCTTTGGGATGGACTCTGAGAAGAAACCTGCAGTTTCCAGCTGCTCCACGACACATGCTAATATTTGACCACACACACGCACACAGAGAAGCATGCATGACAATGAGCGACCTTATGAATGCCAGGGACAGAAAGCATTTTGTGATTATAGAAATAAATATTTATGTTTGACTTATGTGTGTGATGGGGAACAATGTGGCGCCACTGAGGCTGAGACCTTGACGCATTCATTATCTAAAGCTTCTGCCTTGAGTCTGCATTAAGGACATTAACTTTGTCTCTGTTTTGTCTGGTGTGCCACTCACCTTGGCAGCCTGCTAGATAGATGTCCAAGTCAATCTCCCCAAAGTCCCTGAATATCTGCAAGAAAAAGATAGATATGACTTTTTGATTTGTTTTTGTCTTTTATTCTTTAATTTAAAAATGTAAATGAACATGTATGCCCTCTTTTTAATGCTGATTATTAAATTAATAACGTCAACACACGGACCCTGGCACACACATACATTTTTCAAGGTCTTCACAGTGACTGTGTCCACAAAGCTGGTTGCCGAAATGTCCAAGATGATGCTGTGTGTGCCTGATCCACAGGCCCTTCCCTTTCCTTTATCACTGTGGTGTGATACGTGACTGATGCTGTCATACGTGTGGCAACCTGCGTCTGAATCGGAGTCTGACATGGTTGTGTCATGTTGGTAAGCCCGGTTTACTTGGCCTTTATTAGGGTCATTTGTAGAGGTTTCTGTCAGTCTTAAGGACACACCATTTCCCTGACTTGGTCCCCTCGGTTCTGCAGAGACTTTCCCCTCCTTCACCTCCGGCTCCTTCAAAGAGAATGTGCCATTGGACAAGTGGAATTAACGTTTAGTGACTTAAAATGTATGTAACTTGAGTTAATGTGTCTTTTACGATATCATACTTCTTTCTTTGCCTCCTTTTTAGCTTTCTTTTTCTCTTTCTTTTGTATACGCTTCAGCTTTGCGTCTTGTTTCTTCTTCGCCGTCAGCAGCTTCCCGATTTCAATTCCACTCTGCACAAAAAGCCAAGCATTGCATTAAAGAGAGAGAAGAGAAAGTGAGACAAGAGAGAGATAATGAAAGTAATTAAGGATGCTGTAGACAGCAGACAGGGATTACATCTGCTAATCAAACACACATCCACATTCATGGATACACATACACACACCTTCTCTTGCAGGGCCTCCAAGTACATCTCAGCATTTGCGTAGTAGATGGTTGTAGATGAACGGAAGATTTTAATTCCTGGAATCTCTTTAGCCTAAAGGGACACATCATGAAAGAGTTCAGAAACTCACACCCTGTTCTGCTCTCATTTGCACTTTCTACCTCCCCCTGGTATTGTTTGTTGTTCTTCTACCACTTAATGACTGAAAGTTGAACTAACTTTATCCACAAAGTGTTCCTGTAAAGGGTCAGTGCAGGTGCATACACATTTTTTGGGGAAAAAACAAATTTTCTCATGAACCTTTAGTTGTATCTATTAATGCTGATAGTTTTGCTTTTGTTTGCCCAATTTTTTAAGATATCTGTCGCGTAGATTTCTGTTGCCAACCCAGTACAATGAATGTGAATTACTGTATTTTAAAGGTACAGTGTGTAGACACCTAGCAGTGTAGTTGCTGATTGCAGCTCACTTGTTTCACCCTCACCCTTTCTGGGCTACTGTAGAAACATAGTGGTTCAACATGGCAGCCTGAATGAAAGGCAACGTGGTGTCTGTAGCTCATGTAGCAACAAATACACAAAGATTATTATTTTAAGGTGATTATACACTAATGAAAACATACCTATGAATATTTTCCATTTCTGCCTAAATGTTACACACTGGACCTTTAAACGACATTAAAACAAGACTGTGAGTCTGCAGCATAACTAGCAGCTCTGTTAGGCCAGGCACAGCTGTGCTTTGAGCTAAATGCTAACAACGGCATGCTAACATGCTCACAATGACAATGTTGCTGATGTTAAGCAGGTACAGTGTTCACCATCTTAGTTGAGTGTGTTGGCATGTGTTTTAGCATTTGCCAACTAATTACAAAGTACAGCTAAGGTTGATGACCAAAGAATCACCAAAGTCCTTAGATTTCCTCCTTTGGGAACCATATCTGCCCAACAATGTCATTGCAATCCATCCAATAATTGTTATTTCTGAAGTAGTCAGATGAAAAGTGTTGACCCTGAACTCTGTGATTATTGAACTGGTCCATTGTTTTCTGGAGAGACATTCACAACGATTGTACAGGCTGGTGGTAGTAATCTCAACCACAGATATCTTAAAAAATGTTTGGTTCGTTTTATAATTTGGATGAACTTACTTTCTGTAGCTTAAAATTGTACTAACAATCTGTCATTTATCACTAAAAGACATTTACCTCCTTGTAGGTGTCTGTGTCCAGATACAAGCCAGTGCCTGGCATATGGCCCAAGATAGAGTAGCGGGGTCTGGAAGGTATTAAAATGTCATTATTAGAGCAAGAATTGCCCTGCAGCTCTCTACAACTCAAAATCTCTCACAGTGTTTACACCAACAGTTAATAATGGGTGGTGTGTAGTTACAGTTGCGTTCTGAAGATGACAGTGAGCATGGAAAAGCCAACCGAGACAGCCAGACCCAAGTCCAGGTTGAGGAGGATAGTGCTTGTGAATGTTACCAGCCACACCAGCTAGAGGGCAGCATGAACACTCAGTCAGTGGGGTCAAAGTGCTATGAGGTTCACACAGTAATTAACTGAGCAGAATGACTCTTAAAGAGGATTTAGTCTTACCAGATCAACCTTATTGGTCTTCCACAGCATGGGCACGTCCAGGAACTGCTTAAACATTCCTTTCAAATTCACAAACACTATCGTGGATAAGACAGCCTGAAGAACACAAACACAGATGTATTCACATTTACCCACAGCCTTATTGGTTAATAGATTCACTGCCAAGAGAGATACTGATCATTAGAAAGAAATGGTAATGGAGGGAGAGTGTTACCTTGGGAAGATCTTCAAAGAGAGCACCTATTTTCAAAATTGTGATCAGCACGATGACAGACGAAATCACTCCTGCAACCTGGCGATACACACACACACACACACACACACACACTTATTGTTCAATCAATGGTCTCAAGTTGAACATAAGAATTAGATCAGGGGTATTTGTGCACATAAGTATGTTTATGTGTGTGTTTACTTGTGTCTTGCCCCCTGTGCTCTCCTGAACAAGGCTGCGAGACAATGAGGAAGTCACAGCGTAGCACTGAAAAAAGCTGCCAACAGTGTTGCTAAGACCCAAAGCAACCAGCTCCTGGAAAAAGGGAAACAGCAAAACAGACACAACATTTTAAATTAAAGAGAAACAGATTACCTTTCACACTCATACTGATATTTGATGCTATTAATATCATAGCCTTCAGACACTTATATGTCTGGTGTCTGTAACCTTTGGGTTAGAAACACAAAGTATTGATTCATTACCTTTATGGCCATGTCAACACATCACTACCATGTGAGCAGTCCCAAGCATATTTAAGACACACTCGATTGCATAAAGCTCGTTGGGCATTAATGATTTAGCAGACCAGCTCTTAGAGGCTGCAAGTGCTCCCAGCCTGCTCTCTCCAGAGCAGAATGATCCCAGTCACATGCCTCTGCAAGTGTGTGTGTGTGTGTGTGTGTGTGTGTGTGTGTGTGTGTGTGTGTGTGTGTGTGTGTGTGTGTGTGTGTGTGTGTGTGTGTGAATAGGTGTGCTATAGACAAGAATAAGAGAAGTAAAAAAAACTTTATTTCTACACATGCTTGTGTGGACAAAGCACAGGTAGTTAGAGGTTATGCCTTCATGTGTAACCATCTCCTGGGGAACATTAATCATTTTTCCAACAAAGTGGTGACCTGACCTAATGTACGAGCAAAGGGAAGCCAGTGCAGTTCAATCTCAGGCCGTGGTTGGAATAAAGATTGAATAATCAAAAGAGAATGAATAGGAGAGCATCTCCATGACAGAGAGAGTAATACATACTCTACTGTAGTATCTGTGACCCCTTTGTACATACAGTACTTGTTTCATGTAACATGCATCTACATTTTATTCAAACAACCACATCTCATTAACTTTTGCCAGATGCACAAGTAATCAAAAGCCAAACTTGATTGCTATCTTGCTATCTTATGCAGATATAATGCAGAATTAATTCACTGTAACTACTATGCCCCAGCCGTGTCCCACTGTGGGGTGAATCCCAGATGGCTTTGAGCCTTTTGGCATTATGACATTTGTAAATGTACTTGTATAATTACTGGCTTGAATTGATCTTTGGCCAACTCCTTTAGGCGATCCAATTTCACTCTCTCATTACTGTTAGGATATAATTCAGACACTGATGTTGCAGATGGGGACCATAAAGAAACAAGTGAAAACACTTCTCCTAAACGGCACAAATATAACAAATAATTTATCAAATGGAAAATATAATGACAATAATAATCATAATCATCTTCATAATTATCATCATTATCATCATCATAATAATAATGACTCTATATCTTATAGACTTAACAATTGGAACAGAATGTATTGCTTTGGTAATTCAAGCCAATGAAATACCTGGATTGAATGTATTTGAAATAAACTGAGCACCTGAAATAAATATGTTAGAAATATGTCAGAAATAAAATATAGGTCTGGCTTGATCCAGAACAACCGAAATAATTTTTCCACTGATGTGACTCTCATGATAAATTGTGAGCAACTACAATCTAATATTATGACCAAAATCTGACTCTATGACTCTCACAGCTGTTTGTGAGTGTCCCTTTATATATTCCAAGGCTTGTGTGTGTGTGTGTGTGTGTGTGTGTGTGTGTGTGTGTGTGTGTGTGTGTGTGTGTGTGTTTATATTCTGCACCTGGTTACTGTCCACCTTGTAGCCATGTTTGAGGGCAAATGTTTTGCCCAGGGAAATGTTGATGGCATAGCCCACAATAGCCACTGCAAAAGCGTCACCTATCACATTCGAGAACAATGTGGCATCTGGAACACGAGGGGCCTTCAGCCTGGAGCAGGAGGAAATGATGAATGTTTCAGGTTTTTGTCACTGTTGCCTTGTATAGCACCTGAGTCCTGCCAGACAGACATCTCTATAAACAGCTCAGGGCATTAGGGCAGCTCACAATTTCCCTACAGTTGTAACTCTTGACATTAAAAGAAATTTAACAAATAAGCTTCTTGCCAGTAGCTTCCTTGACCTAAATGCAGAGGTGAATGTCTTAAGCTCCAGCTGCATGTGTTACCTCCACTAACTTCCTGTCGTTATGTAACATACTTGGAAACACATCACATTTTTCAGTAATTTAGAAACACCCAACCCTCGGCCTTCCATGAATATCAGACACTGTTGGATAACTCAAATTAAAAAGCAAACACAAGAAAAGCTCAGAGTAGTTTTTGTATATATTACAATAATCTGCTATTATGTGTATGTTTACACATCTCAGTTTTATGCCTTCTGGGGAAAGCTTTTCCAGGAAGAGAAGCTTTTTAGAAATTCACTCACACAAACACACACTGTGTCTCTTTGTAGGGTGCGTTTATCTTATCAACGGCTTCACATATACAACCAAGAAAATTTGATATATTCATGTCTCTGATTTTGTCTGTCTCTTTCTGTTTTATCCACTTACACACACACACACACACACACACACACACACACACACACACAAGCACACATTTCAAACACACAAAGATGAACTTACCCACTGGGAATCTCTCCAACAACATCAATGCTGTATTTACTCGTAAGCCCACCGAAGTGGGTAATGATTGTTGCTGCTATGACCTGTTGATAAAAGGCACAAGGAATGTTGGTTCAGTGTGTGCAGTAAAACTTTCAGCACAAAAAAACCCCTTCTTTTAGGGAAGAGTAAGTCATCAGTCCTTCAGTCCAGATCACTGAGGCTAAGACGCCCCCTGCTGGACTTTTAAATTAACACACCTCCTGTATGAGTGAAAAGAGGAAAAAGCAAAGTGGAGGACTTACCACTATGAGTTCTATCGGGATTGGCATAGGCAGCTTCTGTCTGTAGCAGGCATTGATTTCTTTGACCACAATCAGAACAGAGAGTGCTACCAGGCTGACCACCAGCTCTGGCACTTTAGTCCCAGGCAGCAGCCGGCAAATATCCACCAGAGTCTGTGAGGAAAAGAGTGGAGAGGAGGAAGGAACAGAGGTTGAAGATGATGTTCATTCACATATAGTGTAGAAAGCAAGTGTCCACAGGTTTCTGCTGGTTTTGCCACCATGCTGCCCTAAATACCTTTTTACTAAACTCACTGATATTCATATCTTTTGTCTACTTTGTAGTGTTACGTGGAAGTGTATGAACTGTACTTGGACGACATCCTCATCACTCTCCTGTTAGTGTAGTTGCTGTTAGGGTCAATTAACTTAAACCTTTAACATATAGCCTATATCAGCACATGGTTTTTGGAGACCTCACACATTTCCCTGCGTAGGACCCTGGGGATATAGGAATGAACTTCAGCAGAGATGTAATCAGCCAGAGTAGCTGATAGTACCTTAGTGGGTGTGCTGGGTCTTTATGTCTTTAAATGTAAGTAAACAAGTACTAGTTCTGAGAAGTATCTTAAAGGAATAGTTCAACATTTGGGAAAATATGCGTATTTGCTTTCGTACAGAGATTAAGATAAGGAAATCAATACCACACCTGTCTGTTACATATTTAGCAGCTTGTTAGCTTAGCTTAACACACGACTGGAATCAGGGGGAGGTAGCCTGGTTGTGTCCAAGGGTGCCAACCAGCACCTCTGAAGCTCACTAATTAACATATTATATCTTATTTGTTTAATCCGTATAAAAACCTTTTTGTGGTTATAGGTTCCTGGTCAAGCAATAGGCACATAACCAACCAACTTCAGAATGGAAAATAGTCATTTTTTTAACAAGATATATAGTGTTAGTATTTAAAGGACTCTCAGAATATACTAGTACCAGTATCTCAAAACTGTAATCAAGCTGTAAAAGTCTTCTGTAACTTTGTTGTAAGTCTACAATCTAATCTATTGTCAGTATCCTTATGTGAACATACTCACATATATAAGGGAGAGAGGACCAGTGAAGCGAGCCGGTGTAATTCCAAACAGGTACTTGAGCTGGGAGACACACACATGACATGCTGATCCTGTGGTATATCCACGAACCAGTGGCTCAGAGAGGTAGGTGACCACAAAACCAAACCTCACCACACCCAACAGCAACTAAGAATGGAAAGAGAGAGAGAGAGAGTTTGTCAAAAACAGTGAAACATGACTTAAAAGGGTTTGGTCAAAATGGACACACTCAAACACACCTGAAAGATTCCTGCCAGAAGAGTGAGGGAACATGCTATCTGTACTCTGTATGCGTCCCGTTCATCGAAGTTTACACTTTCTGTTCCATTAGTGCCATTTCCAATAAAGTCACTGTCTGGTCCCAGCCTCTCCGTCACACTCCCAATCATGATGCTGATCACAGCAAACGTCCCTGAACAGACAAAACATGAGCATTTACGCACACAAATACACAAGCGAGGATGAGTTCATTCATGTTCTTTCAGTTCTTTTAGTTACTGTGTGTGTTTCTTCACACACATTTGTCTTGCTCACCTATGGAGATGTGTCTGGAAGTACCAAAGAGGAAGTAGACCAGCACAGGGTAGAGGGAGGTGTAAAGGCCAAACACTGGACGTAAGGAAGCCAGAAGAGCATATGCCATCCCTGGTAAAACAACAAACAAATTTGGTGATGTTTTGGGTGTTTTTAAATTTAAGGAATAGTCACATACAATTTGGAAAAATACACTTTACCCAAAGTTAGGTAAGATCGATATCATTCTCATATCTGTTCGTTAAATATGAAGCTTCAGTCAGGAGCCAATTAGCTGAGCTTAAACAAAAATTAAAGTGTAAAAACAAGAACTTTTGTTTGGGTGCAATGACTTCCTGGACTCTTGTCATCATTGAGCGTAGACTCCAGTAAAACCACAATTTTTACACTACAAGTTATATTTAGTTAATTAGTTAGCTTTACAGGTAATGTTTAATTCGGAGAGAGCCATGTTAGCTGTTCACCTGTTTGCAGTCTTTATGCTCTCCTTGATTGAGCTTCATATTTAATTAACAAATGAGTGTGGTATCAATCTTCTCTTTTGCTAAGTTTATGAAGTGTGATGTAGATAACCGTACACATTCATACAAACCCTGTGGCAGATGCATAATGCCCACACTGCAGCCAGAGATCAGGTCCCCTATGGCATTTTCTCTAAAGGAGTATTGAGGCAACCAGCCGAGAACAGGAACCCAACTCAGCGCTGTGTGCTTCACCCTGGACGCTGAACACCTGCAACAGGTAACCCGGAAATACATTTTATCATTCATATTACTGAGTATACAATTTCTCTTTCAAATTTTTCACTGAATGTCTCACGAAGGAGGATGTGTGTCTACCTAACAGGTCATCTAGAAAAGAAACACGTATGTATAGGCTTTTAGTTTAGGTTTTGTTAGTTTATTTTTTTTAAAGGAAGAGTTGTAAAAGAAACAAATTAAAATGTCCTCAAAAAATTCCTAAAGTGAGGCTTGTGAATCCTAACACCTGCTACAGTTTTTATCAGCCGGCCTTGTAACAAAAAGTGACACACGGAAAACAGTAACATGTCAAATATGCTGCTGTTCACCTCAGTTTAGAGGGTTAGTGAACTGAATATTAAAATGTGAGGAAGATGGCCTTAACAAATATCAGATATTTTACTAGATAAATATTGGATTTAACAACTTGTTCTATCGAGGGCACAAACTGAGTCTTGTGATCCTGAAATGTCACTAGATTACCATTCATTGAATTTCAATGATCATGATGATAATAAAACTGTGCACTTTGCTCATCCATTATCACAGTTTTCCTTGGAAATAGCAAAAGGAAAGAGTGCATTCACATCCAAACACATTCTTTTCTTCCTTGTTTAGCTCAGTGTTCTTGTCACACATCCCTCGCCTGCGTCCTCTTCTCTGTATATGCCATGTTACCTCAGGGACTCCTTCACCCGTTCACCCGGGGTTGGTTTAGTGGACCACGTCCCTTTTTGCGCCACTTCATCCAGACCTAACTCATCCAGAATGTTCCTCTGCACAAAATACTCCCCAGCTGGATAGTCCTTCATCTCCATGTCTGTTTGATCAAATTCAACAGATCTCTGTAAAGCCAGTTTCAATTTGAGCTCCTCCCTTGCCTGAGGGTCTTCTTGCCCAGAGAGAGAGAGAGACAGTTGTAGTTGCACAACAAAAGCAAAACAGTGTGTAGTGTGAGTGAAGCCTCCTCACTGTGCTGTACTAATTAACAGTGCTTGTTTTTGGACTGTGGGAGTGACTGCTCCTTTCCTGTTCTTATAAGGGTATAACCACGCCTCACATGTCCGTGTTCTGAATACACACCTGAGGCTGTGTGTGTGTGGGTCTGAATGTCACAATGTAGTGATTAACTACAGTTGACAAGTTTTTATATAAGGGAGACCTGAGAGCACACCAGTTACAGTTTACATAGAAATAAAACACAACAGACAGGACATACAAACACACAAGGGAGTGAATAAATCCGATGAAGCTTTGTACAGGTTTTTTTTTTTCTTTTAAAAAGCACACACCTCACTCTCTTGTGGAACAGACAGTATGGTGGTTCAATAAATCTTATCTTTATGGCGGCCTAACTTTCCTCATTCAGATAAAGTAACAATATTTTCATGGTCAGCAGAAAAGTTGTGACACATTGTGCTACTGGCATTGTGCAGTATACTTTATAGATTGTGGAAGTCCAAATAAGAAATCTCCTTTTTTCCAAAGATTGTTCACATAAACCCAAAATAACTCTATTCTTCAGGTTGCTGAAAGGAGACCAGAAGATTTTGCTTAGTATGCTTTAAAATCTCTGTGACTAGTCTAGTTTTTTGTTTTTGTTTATTAAATCAAATGGCTCACCCTCTCTCATACCTGCGTCTTTGCTATAGATATAAGTGGTATCTGTACTGCAGAAACAAAGTAAAGACAGCACTCGACATCAAGTGCAACCCTCTCCTTCTGCCATGAGTCAGCACATCAATGTTTGAGAGGCTGATCTGTATTCAAATGATTGCAATCTGCAACTCTACCACCAGATGCCACTGAATCCTACATACTGGTCCTTTGAATAAAAGTATGTAAGTATTATCAATAAAATATACTAAAAGTATATGGAGATGCATTGTTTTTAACTGGACTAGACGGTATTAAAAATTGTAATCTGAAAATCAACTAGTAATTTAAGTTGTCAGACATATGTAGTGTAGTAAAAAGTACAATACTGTAGTAAATTTGATAACATAATTACATTCTACCTCTGCTTTCTCTCATACTCACCTTGTGAAGTGTCAGTACTAAATAAAATAAAATGAAAATAAAGAACTAACTAGAGGGAATGTGTCTTACTAGACTGAAAATCTGAAACAGAATAAGTAGTCAAATAAGCTGATTAACATGTTCTCATTTAAGAACAAACAAACTTTACAATGTGTCCCTATTTGATATCGAAAAAGGGCCTGATATAATGCTTAAGCTTCTAAACTTAAATAAAAGCCACTTTATCTTCGAACCAGGAAACCTTATAACACAAATTCACCAGTCACACTTCTGACAGGGCTCCTTCGAATCATCTATTTAATGTTTATGTTGAGCAGGTTAATGTTTAATAGGGTCTTTGTCAAAATGACTTTCATTATTGAGTGACGTTTATCTTGTTATTCAGTCCGTGCGAAAAGGAGCAGAATACCCTCAAACGTGGATAGAGAGGTGATGAATGTGACTTCACATACTTCCAAGGTGCACAGAAGTAATCTGTGCACCTTGAAAGTATGATGACCCTGATGAAGGCCACACGTTTCTCTGATAAAGTTGTTCTATTTATTAGTGTTTCTGGAGTTTTGACCTCTTTAGCAAAATTAACTAATGCAGTAAGAGTCCAAATGAGATGAGAGTAAGGAGTCTGTTGATATTATTGGTTTTTCGTATTAGCAATTAAAAAAAAATTAAATTACGCATTTTAGTTAACATAGCTGGAAACTCAATTGAAGATGGATGTATTTCTAAAACATAGCATACACAAAACACACCTGGTTCTTTTCTTTCCCTTTTTAGCATCATTATTTTCTGGGATTGCACCCTGCACTTGACACATCAGTGATATGAACATTATCATATTATTATTAAACATATTTTTTTAAGACAAAACCTTCATGTCAGAGGATTTCCCGGTTTTTATGTTTTTTAATTACCACTGGAAAAACAAACAACTCAGTCTCAGGGGAAGATTTCACTTTTGTGACTGAAATGACTAACAGCAATAGATGAGTGTTAGACTCAACAGGAAACATTCTTGCACATATTAACCTGGTCCCTGTCACACACATGTAAATGTGTGCTGTTAAAACTCGGGAACATTTTGATGACCCAGCACAGCTGAAAGCACAAGCAGTGATGGGAGAACTTTCCAGTGTGCCACTCACATCTCAGATCATTTACAGGTCATACAAAATAACATTATTTGTTTAAATTTGTAATTAAAGACAACATTTATTTTAGTCAAATCACTCTAAGTCAGACCCAAGAATATTCACAGGATTTTAAATGTATCAGAGACCAGAATAAGTATAGTATTAGTAGTTTAGTAGTATTTTAATGGGATGTGTGTGTTTATTTTTATCCTGAACCAATTTTTTCCAATTTTCTTTTCAAATTACCCGACAACAATTCTACCAGTGTTGACTGTGTAGCCAAAGCCTATATCAGTGCACCACTTCATTGCAGTGGGTGAATTTATTAGTATGAACATGGCATTGAGTCAATCTAACATAGTGGCTGCTGTAAATACTCACTAGTGCACCAAATGCATTAATCCTCCTCTAAAAATAGTCTTCAACAAATGCACTATTTACCACTCATTGAGTAACAACTACAGAAGTACTAAAAACTACAAACTACAGAGTGTCTAAATCATTATTATAATAATAATAATTATTATTTAGTATGTCATAGTTCAAGGCCCTGCTAACAGTGGCGGTCCCCCCCCCCCCCCGTGGCCCAGTTGTTGAGAAACGCGTGCTAAAGTGCCCTCTTGGGAGCCGCCCCTGCCCTTCAGAAAGTCTGTGCACGCCACTGCCTGCTAATATCAGAAACATTGTTTTTTCCAGCTTTAATAAATATTATTTTATTTGGTTGACATAAGTTTCATAAAATACATCTAGGTAACATTTTTAACAAGGGAAATATTTGCTTTTCATCCTGCACCCTCCTACATGCAGCACCTGCTGAAGCTGACAAAGCATTATGAAATAAGCCTACATATGTAGGTTTTGTGCTGCTCAAGATAACAAACAGAATAATTGAGCTGAGCAAAGACAAAAAATCTCAGAGAAATTAACTCACTGTTATATTGTGATTGATGTGCCATTAACTCTTTGTGAGACATTCAAATATAGGATCAACTTTTGTTTTAACTCTTATCAATAGGTAAATAGTGAGCTAAATCATTTAACTGCTGGAATGAAGAGGTGAGGTGTTTGATAACCTGTTAAAGGTTGTAAAGTTCCACATGGTTAGCTATGCAAAGTCAGATTTTTTTCCTGACCTAGTTGCAAAAAAAGGTTTAATTTGCAGATGTTACTTGGGAGGAGGTTTAAATGATAACGCCAGAATAACTTGACACTGTCTTAACAGCAGATCAAACAAACTTTATTTAAATATAATTTTAAATAACAGATATTAAGTTGTTAAATGTTAAGGTATGATGTTTACCATCACTTTCGCAACTGAGGCTGACTCATTTGTCATTCATTTATAAGGTAAAGTATTGGATAATTTAAAATTTTGACCTGATGGTGGTCCTAAATGAAACAACAAAGTCATCAGGCAACAATTCATCCTTACAACATGAATGTTTGTACAATATTCTGTCACAATACATCCAATAGTTATTGAGACATTTTACCACAAATGTCAACCTCATGGTGGCGTTATCGGAAAAGTCTTGATTAACCAAGTAGGTAGGATTCATCCTTCAGTCTGGACCAAAGTGGTAGTGACCAACAGACCAACACAGCCATTCTTTTAATGATTAATGAGTGTCTAAATCAAAATAAAAGTTTTAAAATCAAGAAAGATCTAAAGAAAATAATTGCTAATTGGATGCTTGGACCTGCCAAATCCCAGTTCAATTTTAAAGTTGAACCACATGAAAAGATCATTATTTATAAAGCACACTTGTCAACAAAGTGCTTGAAAATGGCTTAAAAGGTGCTTAGAAATGGTTATGTATTTTCAATTTTATTAGGTTACAAATTAGCCTGTTTTTTGCAGTTTTTGCCACTTTCACTTCATCATTATAGGAACATTTGTGCTCTGTAAACTGAGGCCTTCTGAGTTACGCAGTTGGCCAAAGGTACTGATGAAGAGCTGGGATCAGAGCTGGCAGAGTGACAGCACTGGCACATGTAAGGAAGCACGTTTCACATATACACATCCTGACCAGGAGTCACTGATTAATCTACACTGCCTATGAACTGTAAGGACCATATTGTTTTTCTCATGCTATTGTGTAATACAGTAGGCTACACTCAGCTGTGCGTGGAGATATGGTTAGAAAACAATTATCCTGAAGTCACACCTCCTGTCCCTATTGGACCTGTGACAGAGTCTACAAAACAATTATCTTTGCACAACAGTGTGTTTTGTGTGTATATTTGACTGTATATGTTGCGGTGTTCATCACTTTCCCAGAGACCCCCCTAAAATGTACCACTAAAAGTTTGCTTGCAGCAGTCATTATTTGGTTTTTTAGAAAGAAGGTGTCCCGATGAAGAGGTTATACCTGGCACCAAGCTTCGTTTCACATGTGAAGACAAGCTCACATACACACTGTATATGCATGCTCTAGGAACTAGATGGCGCCAGACCAAGGTTGTTAAAAGGTTTTTATAGTTAACTAAAACTAAACTTAAAAAAACATTTTAGTTAGATTAAATGAAATTAAAATTAAAACTAGACTTTTGAAAGAGACAAAAACTAGCTTAACTGATATTGTGTACTTACAAAACTAACTAAAATATGATAAAAATGTAAAGGAAAGGATCTCTGTGTTTGATCAAATTTTTAAACACAACAAATGAGGAACGAATGAGGAAGTAACTGCTAGTAAACCATTAGCTAATGAGTAATTTTATAGCTAATGATTGGTTAATCATTAGTTGATTGGTTAATCATTAGTTGACTAAAATATGAGTGAGGACTCTTGGTAATTGATGAATTGTTAATAAATAGTTCCCTAATCACTCCTAATGGAGGATTAGGGAACTGAAAAAGCAGACTGGGAGATCAAGTATTAATTAATCATTAGGTGATGATTAGTTCAAAAATATCTGTGAGTTGTAACTATTTAAGTAGTAAGTAATGAATGAGTCATTACTAGTTTTGTGCCATTCACCGACTGGATCAGATAAAAAAAAGGGGTCAGTATGACTGATTCACAGATATCCATGAACTAATCATTACCTAATGATTCATTAATATAAGATAGCAGTTTGTTCTCTAGTAACTCATCATTATCTACTATATAGTATGAGTAGATAATAATTAGGGAACTACTTGCATGCAACAATGCATCAATTATCAAGTTGTTCCTGATTTGTTCCGCCCTCATTTTTCATAATTAACTAATGATTATCTACTCTAATTGATTTGGAGTTACTAATTAACTACTGGTTTACTACCAATTACTTCCTCTTCATTCTTCATTTGTTCCTTGGTAACTACTCAAGATTTAACAGAAACAAGCTGAAAAGTCTTCTGCCTCTCATTCTTGCAGTTTCTAGATGAAACAACAAGACAAAAACTATAACACTCATCGGCTGTTTGTCCAGCCACTTCTGGAAACCTGAACAGACCAACAGCACCACTAGCACTTGCTGGTCTATTTTAAACCTTTTTTACCAGTGAGCATGATATTGCCTCCACTCACAGGCAGCAAATAGCACAGCACACAAGACAGATCTGCCAGCAAACATTAATACAACTACCTGTGCAGAGTAGTTTAAGAGATCAAATCTGACGTCATCTCAATTCAGAAACTCTTGAATCCTGGTCGTGGCTAGCCCCAGCACACCACAGGGTATGACAGCTGTCTTTTTGCATGTGCTTAGCTAAAGTCATGCTAACATGCTACTGCTTGTACTGTGGACTTTGTGCATGTCTGCCGGGAGTGAGGTGACCTGTGTTTAGCACACCCACGGACGGTGTCATTATCTTCTCCATAAATGTGTGAGTTGGTGGGCCAGCTGCTTAGGGGCGGAACCTGTTTAAGACACTGGTCAGCAAGACAGGTCTCTACGAACAGAGCAAAGCCTTTCCAGTTCCTCTCCTAACCAACCAAACACCATCTGAGAGGCACCCTTCAGCTGTTTGTCCTCAGAAGTAATGTTTACTGCGTATTACACATTAGCTTATAATTAAATGCCTGCCCACCCCAGTTTGGTGTCAAATACTGTCAAATTTAACTTATTAATTTAGATGAATTTTTAAAATAACATGTTAAACAGTGTAAATGAACATTAATAATTAATAATAATAATAACATAAAACACTTTTTTAATAAATGTCTGAAGATTTGGAAATAAAACAATTTATTGATTTTGTGGTGGCAATTAGTTTAATAAAGCATACAAAGTATGATCTTGTTTTTCTGTAAGGTTTTATTCAAGTCATCCATGAATGGTCTCAACGCAACTGTCACACACTCTCGTATGTGAAAGTCCGAAGAGCCCCGATTGGCAGAAGCAGTATGGTTTTATCCCAGTTGGAGCACACAGTTACACATTCCTAAGTTGTTGGACAGTAAACAGACAGATAATGTGGTGAGATGATCATGTCCTTGGCTTCTTAGTGAAGTCTCAACATCCCACTGTGTACTGGGACATAGAGTGTAGTTAGAAACAGGGCTAAAGGTTATATGCATATAATAGCCTCTTCAACAGTTGCGTATGGTTTTACAATGACCAGGTCAAAGGGTTGTATAGGTTCTTAAAAATTGCCATTACAATTTCTAATGCCACCTTTAGATATTTCTATTCAGTATTTTACTGGTGTGCCATTGTAATGTAATGTATGTGATTGTCTGTTGTTAAATCAGGATATATTTCTGCAGTCTCCATTCTACCCTCTTGCTACCCCGTGAATAATTCTCTAGGTCTAAGCTTAAAGAGCTTAAACTCAAAAAAGTTTTATGAAAACCAACACCATAATTCCTAAGGTCATTATAGAGGTCGATATAAAGGGCTGGATGGAGACCAGAAGATGTGCAACTTCTGTAATGACAATCGTTTGGGAGACGAGTATCATATTTTGTTTGAATGTAAGAACGTAAGCATAATGAATCACAGAGAAAGGTGTTTGGCAATATTTAAACTGCCCATCTATGTTTAATCTTGGTATTACAATCACATATGTCTAAAGTTATTTGTAAACTAGGTGTCATTTTGAAGAAAGTTTGAAGAAAGATAGGAACAGATTGAGAATTGTGTGTATGAAAAAACTTTTCTTGTTTATTTATTCTCTTGTGTGTGTTTGGCACTACTGTGCCATAAGGTCTTTCTCTCTATGCTGAGTAAAGTGGTACAGACACCCAGTGCAGCGACCTATGGAGGCCCCAATGCTGGACTCTGCTCAGGCAGAGCATGGCTCACTTCTTCTCAGGCAGCTACAGAGGATGAGAGCATCTGAGGAGCTCACTGATGTGGTGCTGCTAGCAGAAGGGATTCCATTTCCTTGCCACAAGGTGGTGCTGTCTGCATTCAGTCCTTACTTTCAGGTAAAGTGGACAATCCATTCCATTACACACACACACACACATATATATATATATATATATATATATATGAGAAAGTACAAGATGCAGATGTGTTTTGCAGAACTGATAAAGCAGTTCAGTTGATGATCCTATGAGACTGTAACTGCATCATGTTCAATTGTTTTGATAAATTGCTGTGTCCAGGCCATGTTTACATGTGGTCTGAAGGAGACCCGGGGGGGAGAGGTGTCTCTCAGGGACACTCCTGCTCAGAGCCTGGAGCTGCTGCTGGATTACATGTACCGAGCTCAACTTCCACTTTCCAACGACAACATCCAGGGAGTGGCTGCTGCTGCCTTTCTGCTCCATGTAGATGGAGCCTTCAGGTGGGGAACGAGATTGGTGGGAATTCATTGATTTTCCAATAAACTTCCACAATAGAACATCGTATAGTGTTCATTTAGTGAGATGTGCCTGTAGTATAGGTTAGAGGGCAGTGACCTATGTATAAAGTACTGATAATATTTTGTTCCCATCACCACCTTGTTGTTTCTGCTTCAGGTTGTGTCAGAGTCACATGGAGGCCCGTATGGACCCCTCCAACTGTGTTGGTCTGTACCACTGGGCCCGAGACCTGGGGGCCACTAGTCTGGCTGACTGCGCCTTGAGATACCTCTGCCAACACTTTGCACAGGTGGGGTATCCAGCACAAGTACTGTCAAATATTCTTTCAGTAGGAGCCATAAATAATATTTCCTGGCCCCAAGATAAAACATGTTATATGGCCTGAAAAACAATTAATTTATAAAATCAGCTGCCTCATAATATGTATGTATATCCACCTTAGGACCAACTTACTTTAAAGGCTCATGGCAGATGATATTTGTACAAAATGAAAATATTCAAACATAAGTCAAAAATACAATAAAAAATGAAAACAACAACAGCGACATGACAGCTGCATAACATTTTACAAGCCTTCCTCTCTCTCTGTTTTTAGGCTACTTATTGCTGCCACTAGGGGGTGGAAGTCACTTGCATTTTTTGCACAGTGATGCACAGGGGTTGGGATGCTTTGGGAATTACAGTGTTGATGTGATACGGACTTTCCTACCATCATCTATATATACCATCCACTTGATCGTTGCCATTTTCCTCCTTCTTTATCTTGCTGTCTCAAGGTTTGTGAGGAAGAAGAAGTGCTGGAGCTGGATGCCCATAGTCTTGGGGATCTGCTGGGTTCAGATGACCTCAACATATCACAGGAGCAGGTAGTCCTGGAGCTGGTGCTACGCTGGGTGGACAGGCGAAGGGGGGACTCGCAGAGTGAAGCCCAGGCTGTGGAGTTACTCAGACGTGTCCGGCTGGAGCTTGTGGACCCTGGATTCCTCCGTAAAGCCAGGAGGAGAAACCCGGTGAGAGAAAAGAGATGGAAATAGATAAAACATAAAAGTCTACATATCTTATCCACATTTATTAAGGAATTAGTAGGTTAACAGACTACAACGCCTATAAATGAATCTTCCAGGTACTGCTGCGGGATGCTGAGTGCTTTGGAATGATTGATGCTGCTCTCCAGACCTCAGGCCTGTGTGAGACGTCAGCTCCACCACGACCCCCCCTTCGTTATGGCATGGAGACCACCGACCTGCTGCTCTGCTTGGGTGGGGTGAATAAGGAGGGAGTGCCTGCCCGTCGTGGAGGACTTGCTGACCTCAGTTTTTGCTTTGCCCCCCATGGTAGAAAGACTTACTACATCCCCTCTCCACTGAGGAGCTGTGGAGGCATGGGACAGATCACAGCAGGGGCAGTGACACGAGATAACAACATCTTGGTGGCCATAGAGGCAGAAGATCAACACAGGATGAAGAGGGTGGATATTTACAGGTGTTTAAGCATGCTCATATATAATAAATCCATATGTTTGAATGGCACTGCATTCAACAACAGATCTTAAAGGCTTGTTTATGTTCCAGGTATGATAATTCAGAGGAGAACAGCTGGGTGGAGCTGTGCTCAGCAGCATACAGGGACATGTATGCTTTTGGGCTGTTAGGGGATGGCCTCTATATGATAGGCGGTCAGATGAAAGAGCGTAATCACTACATCATCACAAACAATGTGGAGAGATGGTCGCTGAAGAGAGGAGGCAGCTGGCTCAGCTTCGCCCCTCTGCCTCTCCCCTTAGCCTGTCACTGTGCCGTCAGCCTAAAGGAGCATCTCTACGTGCTGGGGGGCTGGACACCGCAGGTACACAGTGTGTCAAAAACACATATTAACTGTGCAGTAAATGAATGGGTTCAGGTATGCCTGTTGACTACTGAAAACTTCCCCCGCAGTTATTAGTAAAGACTCAATTATTAAAAGGCCCTGAAAACCTATTTTCTCAAACACTTGCTATGAACAACTGGATCCAACAGGAACACACAATTTTATGACAAAGAAGGAATTGTAGGCTTCATATTTCTGCACGCCCATCAGGATTAAGTGATATTAGAATCAAAATGTGGTGACATTAATGGGGTTGTTTACTCATGTAGCCAGCCCTGTCAATCAAATTCGATCCTGATGAAGCATGTGAGTTTTTATGCGTTAAACTCAATAAATAATATTTTTTTTACTGAAGTTTAGCTTTGATCGTTGCATATTTAGTCATATAATATACTTTTCATAGAAATACTTTTCAGTGTCTGTAAATCCAAGTGTCAACATTACAAAATTCCAGACTTCGCCGCCCTCTAGGAGCACCAGACTGGGATAATAATTCAGGCCAGGAATCTAACGTCAGCCCAAGCCAATCTCCACACATTCACAGCAGACCATGTATATACCTATCTGTTTCTGTTTAGTTTAAATTTTGTTTTTTCTGTGTACTGTTTTTGCCAGTAACATGACTTTTGGTGTTATTGCTACACACAAAGAAATTATTAAAAACATCCAAAATAGTTTTAAAAAAACTAAGTGTCCTCAGTTTCAAGAGTTAGTCAATTGAACTTCCATAATTAAGGCTACGGGAAGAATTCTTTCAGTTCAGGCCTGCCCTCTAGTGGTAGCATCGAGACAGATACAAAAAAGACACCGCAACACCATCGCCCATATCAGACCCAGGGACACTGAGGTCAGTAGGCTGAAAGACTGCAACATCTCAGTTATTTACAACAAAGTCTTATGCCAACAGAATAATTAGACATTTTTATAACCACGTAAAAATTGAACACACTGTGGTTTTAAAGCAACTCAATTATTCAAAGATCAGATGGTGAAAGATTCAGTGTAATGTCTGTCCTCTCAGTCCTCAACGTCTCATTTCTCACCTCAGTTTCTTGTCTTTTTCTTCCCCCTCCTATCCAACTCTCTCTTCTCCTCCCTCAGCACCAGCCAGATGATGAGCCTGACAAGCTGAGTAATCGTGTGTTTCATTTTGACCCTGGCAAGGACAGGTGGACAGAGTGTGCCAGGATGAATTACTCAAGGTACCGCTGTGGCACGGCTGTCCTCAACGGAGAAATCTACATACTAGGTCAGACTACAAGACCGACTATAACTGTATTCCTAAATATTTATTCAGTATGATAAAGAATGGAGGCAGCTAATGTGTGTGTGTATGTCCTTCAGGTGGAATAGGGTGTGATGGAGAGGACCGTGGACAATCACGTCGTTGTCTGAGCTCTGTGGAGATCTATAACCCAGACACAGACACCTGGAGGGTGGGACCTACCCTGCCCACAGCTCTACTCTCCCTCCGCACCAACTCCTCCAATATAGGAGTAGTGGAGGGCAAGCTCTACCTATGTGGATACTACAAGGGAGCAGGTCAGTTAGTAAAATATTTTTTTAACAGCTTGTTATGTGTAGTCTCTTAGAAAATGTCAACCTAATAAGTTTAACTTCACTTGTCTCCTGTTGTACAAAAACAAGGCAGAATTTGGGTCTGCATCAGCGTGAGGGAATGCCAGCTAACTGATGAGGCAGTATCTTTGGAAATTAGATTTTGGTCAGCCATAACTTACATGCTTTCTCTCATGAATGCAGGCCGTCATGAGATCATCACCAAGGAGATTTTGGAGTTGGATCCTGCAGACAATGTGTGGACGGTGGTGGAAAGACGAGCAGCCATGCATGACTGCTATGACGTCTGTCTGGTGGCTAACCTCAATCCTCGAGACCTCGTCACACCCTAATTCATCTCCTCCTGACTCTGAGCAACAATGCCAGGAGCCAGGATGTGTGGGAAACAAGCTCCTGTCTTTTAAACCTCATACTGCTGGCTTGACTCCTGGACTTGTATGTCAAGTAACCGTCAACAAATCCTCATACCCAAACAACAAAATTGGTTAATTTCTTTGAAAATTACTCATATGACCTTTACACAAACTATTTATGTGAAAGCTTCCACCGCTGTGTTGGAGGTTTGGTTTAGTTTCTGCAATTTTAAACCACTTGAATAAGAGTAGGGAGAGACTGTGATCATGGCCAAAAGGAACCAGTGTTGTCGGTTGGTAAGAGACAGGATGCAAACTGCAGTCAGTAGTGTCACACACTTCCTCTGCCATTGCTTCTAACAAACAACAGTCATTGATTGCATGACCACAAGAGGTTGATTGTCACAAAGTATATAATCGAGCGGTGTCAGACAGGCAGGATGTGGTTTTATGCCAATTTTGACCACTAACGTTTTCCCCAATAACTTTACGTTGGGTTTTTTATGCGTTTAAAGTTGAATGTATTTTATGGTAAACAGTTTTGTTAACATTTACAAACTTTTTTTTGCACAATAAATATTCAAATAAGTTTCAATAAGTGAGTGCATCTTGCAAACCACCACAGACTTCATACCGGTTCAAAGCATCAGCTTCAGGTGCGGTGACAACCAGCACTGAGCTTTAGAGTGGCTGGGAGTCAGATTTTGTTACCTTCGGACAGAGGCTAGTGGTTTCCCCTTGTTTCCTGTCTTTGTGCTAAGCTAAGCTAACCATCTCCTGGTTCCATCTTTCTATTGAACATTCAAATAAGAGTGGTATTGATCTTCTTATCTACCTCTCAGCAAGAAAGTAAATAAGCATATTCCCCAAAATGAAAAAGTTTTATTTTAAGCATTGGAACAAATGGCAGATGCTGTCATTTCTGTGGTGAAGACATTCTTGTAGCCATAGCAGCCGTTTTACAAAACAGTATATTCATA